GTGCCAGTCATAAATCGATTGTGACGTCATAATATGGACAATGACTTGACTTCTTCAATTGTGAATGGCGCCGTTTGATTAAGCCCTCTTTATTTTGTCTTAAAAACCTGTCAGAATGAAAGTTTTCTGAGCTATGTGATAAAAAGTATCTAAAATGTTTTCATTTTATATTAGTTTTTATGAAACTCGTCTCCATGTTTTATTTTTTCCTCGCCAAGGCTTGCAAAAAAAAAACCCACCTCCTAAGACTCGTTTCATATAATCCTAAGATCCTATATATCTTTAACCAAGGAAAGCTTGGATAGGAAATCTGAAAGGATTAATGAATGTCAAATAATGTGTTCTCAATTAATGCGAGTAAAAGATTGCCTGACCTCTTCCGACTGTATGGTCGTATGAAGCGACTTATAAACAAACACACCTTGTTGCATGTTCGTCGACTTCTTCTATTTCTTCCAACTTTCTTTGGTGTCATGCAGATTTTCTTTTGTAATCAATAGACAACCGATTACAGTTTAAAAACCAATGGAGACCATGGTATATTGTCTTTTATCGTGTTTAACACTGCATCATTGTTTTGTATTCCTTATCCTAAGATCGGCGTGTTTTCCCCGTTTAATTGCCCGGAAACCCCTTTGTTTCCATGACATTATCAATCCATTTGAACAATTTGCAAGTGTCACTGTCATTTGGAAGCACGAACGATTTATAATTATGTTGCTTATGCCTTTCATGATTTATTGTATCAAACAAAACAATCTGCAGAAAAAGAATAGATATTGCACAACGCTTGATTGCTTTTGTGACACATCCTTAAACGAGTCTATTGAAGTTTCCGACATCTCTATTGTTGTTCTTTTAGCGCTTTTAACGAATTCGATATCTGTGTAATCATCGCAGGTGAATTTGTTCTAAATGTGTACAGTTCATTGTAGATGAGCTCAAGTTGATAATATGAAAAAGCAAACACGTATTTTCTATTTTATAGATTTGAACCATTGTGGAGATGTTCCATCAGTCTACTGTTCAGCAGTTTACACTATCAATCCGTTACAAATATCATCTTTTGATGTCTATTGTGACATGGATACTGCAGGTGGACCTTGGACGGTATGTAGCCAGCGCTAATGGCAGACTAGAGGGGTCATGATGTGTCACACCTATAACTAGGGCAGTTTTTGAAACATATCTTTATTCTTTGAGGCTGCATTTGTGATCAGGCACATATCTTGTGAATTTCTTGTTCGCTAGTATTGAACATACAAAGAGATGTTTGGATGTTTAAATACATAATAGGAGAACAGTAGATTACAATGTACTAATGGTAATCATGCTTCGAAGGTGTTATAGTTTCGGATAAGACTTATTACTAGAGGATAACTGAGTGAGATATTTTAACTAAGACCAGGTTTAACATTAAACCTAATAACAACAGAGTCACATGATGAGGTTAGTAGGTTTCGACTGAGATATCGTAATCTTGCTTCCTTACAGGTGATTGAATTTTTTTTCTCATAACATCTGATTTACAAAAGCCCTAGTTTACTGATTGCTGTTCACAAGTATCCCACTATAAAGCCTGGGAATAATAAAGTTTCTCTAAATAAAGAAAGAAAGAAGAGAAAACCGAAGTGTCAACTAAACCATAATCCGAAATCGAAATTATGATGTTCAGAGAAAGTTTTTGATTATCGAATCAAAAATGTCACTTAGTTACAATAGGTTAGCCATACTTCTATCAAGAAAGGAAAACTTCAGGAATGGGAACGCAAAATCGTTCAGTTGAACAAAGAGCTCAATTAAAACCTTTCCTCATCATGAATTCTAATTTATATAGGCGTTCATTACACTGATGTCTAATATCTGAACAGGAATTCTTGTAAAAGTAATATTTCTTGTTTTAATTGATAAACAGTTGTTCTTTTTAAATATACATGTTATATAAGTATCACAAATATTTTGATGACTTCATGCTTGATCGTCAAGTAAAATTTAAGTGAATAGTTTTGGAGGTCACTTAAATTGCACATATCTCACTTCCTGCATTAGCTAATGTAATTCACCAACTACTCGTTCATATTTTCACATGTCATGGATATGTTTTAGGTAGTTACCAATAGATACGACGGTTCTGTAGGCTTTAACAAATCATGGGACAGCTACAGAATTGGGTTTGGAACATTGACAGGAGAGTTCTGGATAGGTAAGTTCAGCATCTTTTCATTAAAGAGTAAGTATTCCTTTTGAGCATATAGATACGTTTCACTATGTACATGCACATATATTGCATTTACTAAACATACGCGTAGACTTTTTTCTTGCTTTGATATTGCATCTGTCAATTATTATTTTTTTACATATATTAACGTCACGATAAACTTTTATGTATCAATTTATTTATATGTATAATTCATATATTTTACATACAGGGTTTGCGAAATACAGGATTCTACAGTTGTTAAACCTGAAAATGCGGATCGAAATGGGTGGATGGGATGGTTCCCTGAAGTATGTGGAATACACGTCGCTGACAGTTTCTCATGAGTCGTCTTATTATACCTTGTCATATACGGGATTCAGCACCCCTCATGGATTAGGTAAGTAGTCAAAGTATTGAGTGATTGCCATACACAATTCATACGCGGTTTAGCACCCTCATTGTTTAAGTAAGAAGTCAAAATATCGATGCGTTCGTCATGCAATGCATACGGGGATTAGCACCCCTCGTGGATTAAATTATTAGTCAAACTATTGATGCGTTCGTCATACAATGTATACGGGGATAAGCACCCCTCGTGGATTAAATTATTAGTCAAAATATCGATGTATTCGTCATACATTGCATACGGGGATTACCACCTTTAGTTGATTAAGTAAGTAGTCAAAGAATAACGTGTTTAGTTCCCTTTAATGAATCGTCATATGGTTCAGGATCGTTGATAATCCAACCCCCTCCTCGTAGCAATACAAGGGAGGTATACTGTAACATATTAAACATATAGTGGTAGCTTGCATCAAGGATGTTTATACAATAAGCAATAATCAGAGAGTTTCTTTCTTATTTTGATCCGGCTTTCTGGGTGCTCATGATGTTTTGTAGTTTTGTTCAAACGCCTTGAACAGTTCTCTTTAAACACGTACCCTTAAATCATCTCACAAGGTGATCCAAAATGACCAGTCCTCTTCTCCTGCTGAAAATCTAATGAGTTAATAAACGGATTACAATGATAAGGAATACTTTATCAAGTGCATATCAGCTTCGATCACTTTGGCTGCAGAAGTTATAATACCCATTGCTTACTACAATATGTATCGTTCTATCAAGGGGTTATTTGTCTAGCTCTGTTGTTGCTACTGATGTAACTACATGTAGACGAAACACTATCGTTTAAGACTATTTTAGTTCAATATATGATTGTTCGTTGTTTTCTGGCTTCCTCGTCATCATATGTTGATACACAGATGTATGTTTGTTTACCAGCTGATCAGCTCGCTGACCATTATAACGAGCCATTTACCACGTACGACAATGATAATGACGACTTTGAAAACAACTGTGCTGATGCGGCGAACGGAGCCTGGTGGTATTACGATTGTTATGACTCTAACCTCTTCGGCGGTTATGTAAATAGCGATTTGTACAAATACAAAGCTATGGTGTGGAAATACTTTTATCCAGGTGGAGGCGAATACTCCTCCCTAAAATCAACAAGGATGATGTTAGCGACCCCATAAGCATAGCCTACAAGACGGGCGTACTTTTAAATCAAGTTCGGTTTTTCAATAATCTACTATGACGTTGGCGAATAGAAGATATATCCGTTATGGTGAAAATATTCATCTTTCTTGAATATTCGGACCAAAATCAGTCATATTGATCTTTGGAAACCATCGATATAAGTGATGATGTAGATTCTATTGCCACAACTAGGTCAATTAAGTCGGTAATTTGATACTCGATACAGAAAAACATACTGTAGTTCCAACATGTTTCCCCAGATTCGTCGCAACACTCTGTCTGAACTTGTGGAAACCGAAAAAAAATAGTAATATTATGTTACTTTATTATCCGAGATACGTTCTTACAGTCAACGAGCGTGATTTGGGCGACAAAATAGATTAGGCTTTTTGCATAGGTCGATCTAACACTCATTAACCTGTATGTACCTACGTAATTATTATCATTCAGACTAGTGAGAGATCAGTGAAAACAACAGGAAAGTCCATACGGGTTGCACTGAACACTACCAAATTACAACAACTCAGCTCTTTAGATTAGGATTTTACACTTCTATTTGTCATGTACTTACACATATTAGTTTAAACATAAAAGTTAAATAAAAATATGCGGGTTAACAATGATCACATGGAACTGTTCACATTCATCCTAATATCTCTCACGCTTCTAATCCGATGTATAGATTTTGAACATATATACAATGTACAAAAGAAAAAAAGAATGAAAAATGTCAATACCGAATAGAGTAGTGACTTACTTTTATTCAAGCAATCGGTCACCCATCCCCTGCCATGTTATCATTGTCATCAACGCCAAGTAGAAAGTATTAAACATTTAACAAAAATCACAGACAAAAAACAATGATCACATGGAACTGTTCACATTCATCCTTTGTGATTGCACAAGGCACCACTACTGTTATATATTAAGACGATGTTTCTGTAATGCCGGTTGGCCTAATATTAAAATAAAGTCTGTAATAATGTCTTGTACATATATTTGAACATTGATACTCATACGTTGGTATATCTAATGCTATTCATATGTATATTATTCAAACCACAATGTGAGATGTTGATTAAGTCATTATGATCAGGATGCACGTGCTAAAGGCTAACAAAGTCTTGTATTTAAAGCAAGTCTACTGTCACATTCTAACGGGTGATCCGCCTTCAAATGATCGCATATTGTTTCACCTCATCAAAATGTATTATAACATATATATTTTATACAAATTATAGAAATGTACAATACTGTTGTGAATATGTAGATCACTGATATACATGTTTAATGCGAAGTAATGACTGTGTATAGAATCAATGTGTTTGACCAGACGTCCGACCATCCGCCGGTTGCAATCTATCTTACAACTGGGAAAACACGATTATTCTCCTGAAGTTTGAACACCGTGTTGACACAGTATATATTTGTTCCATTATATACTTCCTTCTGAATTTGTATAGTCCGTAAGATTCGTAAGTTTTTCTCAGAGAGGTGGTTTGTCTTCGGCGGCAGCAATAGTTGTTAATCTGTTCGGAGACACTCGGGAGTTATTCTCAGAACATATACTTGGTTCTCTCAGACAATATTCACTGAAGTGTTGGAGCTCTGGACGTTTTACGTGTTGGTAGTTTTGAGAATAACCATTTACTGGCACCTATGAATAGGGAGACGAGAGATAAGAATGCACAGTGTTGATTTGAACTCAAACGAGTCACACATATGAGCATATAGGGACCGCGGAACCAAATGATTTTCCATAGACGATAGTG